TAGATATCAGGGTAACAACGTATCTGTGTCCACCTTTGCTTAAAATTGTTGCTTTGGTTAGAGTTGCAGTTTGTCATGGTCTTGTGGCTTCAAATCCCAGATCGAACCAACACTAGTTATTGGATTTTTCTGTCAAGAAAATCGCTGTAGAAGCTCCGGATTCCTTTCGGAAGTTTTTTTTATGTTTCCCCGTGCTATAACCCGTGCCTCGGCAGCACATGCCTTTGGTCATGCTAAGCGCATGGCCTTGCTCTGGTCGTTTCGAACAGCCGTTCCATCGTTTTATGAGAGTAGGGGAATAAAGCGTGCAGCTATACTTGCACACATACTCATACACTATAATCCTGTCCTGAGCATATGGCTTATCGCCATTAGACTGGCTGACATAGTAAAATAAAATAAAAAATACCAGGGACAAAACACAAAATTTTAGTAAATTGTTTCTTTGTTTGTTTTCAAATTTATTTATTGTAAAATATTCAATCATTATGCAAATGATTGATGCAAACTTGGAAACAAGTTGATACCAACCAGTCGTTGCCCTCAGAGACTGCTTTAATATTCAAAGTAAGAAACATTTTCTCTTTGATGTACGTACGCGATTTTATTATTTAGTTTTTAAAAGATTAATCGCTGTATGCTAATACGATTTCGATTTGTAACATAATTTTGTAATATTATATACACATACCTAAAATTGATTTAATCTTGCATAGGATTTTCCTTAAATATTTTTACCGTGAAATAAAATAAATTACATACTTATATGTTCATCGTGTTTGCATATAGAATCTTAGTGATGTTTACATTCATCCCAGCGCCACAGCATTGTTTTATACTTGTGCCTGTATCGAAGATCAACCTCAAGCTACTTATTTAATATTAAATTAAATAACAAGACCCACTCGTTTTTTACTTTTAACTCTGTAATTTCCCTCGAGAGAAAAAGAGGTAACTGTGCATTAATATTCTAAGACGATATCTCAAATAAACTATTGAAAATCGTATAATGTAGGCTGTGCTCCACGGGGGTTCAAGCAATAAATGGACTCACTTACCGATCAATATGAAAAACTGCCAGGTTATAATGAACTAAAAAAAAATGAATGTATTTGGAGAACTTTCATCACGTTAGTCACCAGTCTAAATCAAATTGACTACATCTCTCGTGCTCCAAACTTGTAATTTCAATGTGTACCAGAAAACAGAGGGGAAAATTTAGTAAGCATTATTAAACAAGTGGGTCTCATTATATTTCTAAGAATATTTTATGAAATAATAATGATGTCATGCAGTTTTTCTTGTCCGAAAAAAATAAAATCCATAGTAACCATCTATAACAAAGACATAAAAGATTACCCAGTAAACACCTCCGATAATTGCAGTATAAAAGTAAAAAGTAAAGTTACAGCCCATATACGTCCCACTGCTGGACACCGGCCTCCCCTCATTTATAGATGGTTTTAAGGCATGGAAGTGTCCGCCGCGCTGTTCCAATGCGTGTTGGCGAACTTCACACATCTTCGAAATATTTTTTCTTATTCCTAAGACATGCAGGTTTCCTCACGATGTTTTCCTTCACCGCCGAGTATGTTGTATATCAGCACTTAAATTGCAGTTAATAATTTCATTGGTGCCAGCGGGATCGAACCGTGGTTACTTGTGTTCTGTTATATTAACAGCGAGCGTTAAGATGGCAGCATAATTGTCTCATTTTACCTGAAATTTTAACCCACTTATAGGTTCGAAACTTCATGTACTTACTCCAATCACCAATTCTGTCCTCCGTAGAACGAAATGGGCATTTCCAGCAATGGATTTTTATGGAATATTGCTGATGATAAAACTTACTAATAACGAGTGGAATTATAAATAAAAACCCAGGCCTCGAGCAATTCTAGCTAGTAAATCTAAAAAATAAGATAAAGATACTTATTTATGCTTATTTGCGTTCAAAAAAATATGTTTAATAATATGTTTAAAATATTATATAACAATACTCGTTTAATCGCCGTTTAACCATTTAATATCTCAAAAACCAGTTGACTTAATAACAAATAGGAACGCCACTTTGTGAATTAGCTCCTTTTAAGAGATTTTTTGAAGATTCAATATAAAATTAGAAGCCGCTACGATGTATTTTGCTCAGTTTCTTTTCAGTGATTTGTGTTAAAACGATGTTTATTCCTTTTACCAATACACAAAAGTGCTTTTAGTGTAAAGCTGTCAATAATAATTGAAAATCTAGTAGTACAACTTCTATAGTTTAGTTAGTCTATAGTGATAATTAAATTTACGCGAACACTACAGGTTTATAAAACTATATTTACGGATTTAATCTTCTCTATTGAAATTAGGATGTTTTTTAATTTCAATAGCCTCGCGTATCATCCTTGGTAGGAATCGGTGTTCTTTTGCGAGGATTTGGGGTTTACCAAATCAATATTGATGTAATGGTGGGGACAATTTGAACATGTTCACAGACTGCAGACTTCCCGGAGCGTCAGTGCTTTACGTCAGCAATATGTTCTTTCAGGCGGGTTTTTATGTATCTTTTTGTTTGTCCTATATAAAAGAGACCACATTCACAATCTAACTTGTACACTCCTGCATCTTGACGGATGGTAAAAATTGACTAATCTTCTTCGGCGTCTTGTAGCATGTTTTAATGGAAGCTCGCTTCAAGATGTAGCCACCCTTGTCTGTGACTCCTATGACATACGGTAGTACAGCATGCACACGCTTGACTGTGGCCGGCCGACCGAGTGTCACTGTGACGTAAGTCTACGCTGGGAATTTAAAAATAATTTAAAGTAGTAATTAAATGCTATAAAATTCGTAAATATAGTCTATAGTGAGGTAAGAATATCTACTACCCCATAAAGTTCCGTAGATGTAGTTAGAGATGACAGAGTAAAACCAAGTAATAGGCAGCGGCACCTTTCTAATAGCGACTAGATGACAACGAAACTACAGTTACCAATCCACATACCGAGAGTGGAAACTATGACAAATACCCCTATTAGCGTTTGAGTTATTCTGGTAGCAAAATAAAACCAAGAAACGTGAAGGTATTTGGAATTTTGCGAACGATCGGAATTAAAACACAAAAGTTAATAAAACTGATAAGGGATATGTAATTCCGAGACATTTTAAAATTATGACAAGCATTATATTTAATTATATTTGATAAGCTTTTGAATTGATTAACAATGTTATATTTGCTCAAATATTGACCTGGTGTGAGAATGTTTGTAATATGAACCAGAATATAATAAACTTTTAGGAACGACGTACACAGGTAACGTTATAAAATTAAAGAAAATAGATTTGAGATAAGTTCTGTGGCGGCGCTGTCGTCGCGCCACAAGCGAAACACACCGAAGCCTAAATCGCGCTATCAAAAATCCGAATCATAAACAGTATTAATCCTAGATCACTAAACTTATTCTCTAGTAACAATGTTACTAAATATTAGTCCTACAAACTAACAAATTGAAACCTCAGTGTTTTTTATAATCAAAGCATTTATTTAGAAAAAATCTATATAAAGTATGGAACGTCCTCTAAATTAATATATAACTAAACAAAAAGTAAAACAAAAATTATTCTTGGCAATCGGCACACATCGGAACCGTATGTTCCCCGCAAATCACCGTCTTACAGCGGTGGCAAGCATACTTGGCAATCCTGTGTGTATTTTGTTGAGCTTGAGAGGTACTAGGAGAAGCTTCTTCACTTTTATATCTCTCCTCAAAGTTACAGTATTGTAAAGCCCCCGTAACCATGGCTCTATAAGCTTATTGGCCAAACTTTGGACAAAAGTTTCATTGGTTTTTGAAGTTTTCTGACCATGTTCGATACATATATGACATAAGAGTTGATTGAGCATAGGTTCAAAATATTATAAAACATACATTGAGGCCATCTATTGGTTTTGACAGTATCGACAGCACCTTTGGTACTATTGTAGAAATGTATGATTTCAGGCTTTTTCGATGTGGAGTTAATGTTTGGCTGATTATGCACTGTCGATAAAAGAAAAACTACTTTATTAGATTTCGGTTTATAGGAGACCAGAGTCGTCTCACCATTAAATCCAAACATCGAAGTGTTAATCATTCTTGATTTTTTGTTTTTCATTTCAGGTGGAATCTCTCGCTTATTACTGCATATTGTCCCAACAAGTGTGAGTTTATATGGGTCCCGAAGCAATTCGGAAGCAAGTGGCACTGAAGTGAACCAATTGTCCATCGTAATATTACTGTAAGTCCCATAGACAGGCTCACAGAGTTTTTTCACGAAATGTGCGGCAAGAGGCACATTCTCACAATTGATTCTTTACCTAGATAAGGCGTAACATTATAGACATACTTTGAATTAGAATCTGCAACTATTACAATTTTGATGCCGTACTTGTTGGGCTTATTGTGTATATACATTCGAAATGGGCAGCGCCCTCTAAACCCAACTAATTGTTAATCAATTGTTAGATAGGAACATGGCTTGTACCATTTTTTACAATTATCAATTAACTTCTCCCAAATTTCTCTAATTGGTACAAATTTATCGGGTGCTCTTCTGTCTTGTCTGGTAGCTTTGTCATCAAATCGAAGACATCTAAGTAAGAATCAAATCTCTCAGCGCTCATACATGGTTTGAAAACGTTACCACTCCTTCTGGTATCAAGCAACATTCCCGTAGGTAAATGATTACTTTTTATAGCAGCTGATTGCTGAAGAAGACCAAGCAAAGCTTTCAGTTCACTAGCCGAAGTTGCAGAGATAGTATGAGTCAATTCCTTTTACTTCATCTTTTTCAATTTGATCTCCGCATTTGTGTGAATAACAAGTTGGTCAATCATTTCATCAGATAAATACAAATGAAATATTGGAATTGGTTCTACCAAATCACGTGCATCACTGTTAGGGCCAGATACAAAATGAATAATGTTTCGAACAGATGCACGAGTGTTTGAAGAGCGTGAAGTAGTCGCCCACTTATATTTGTTTCTTTTTTTCATAAATTAATGGTCTCTCTGGTTGTATTACCGGGTTCTCCTGAGAAACTATTAGTGGACAAGGCTGCAAGTACTCCAAAGAATCATCATCTGAATCTGGGATCCTGTTTCTGTTACGGTTTATCCGGGAAACATTCAGATCTTCTACAGAAAAACTTGATTTTTCTTCACTTTCGTCGGTATTTTCGACCAAGTCCTCCTCTAAGTTGTCATCAAGTTCGGAGTCTGAAGGCACCAACGATGAATCATCATCGTCATTGTCCGACTCCTTCAGAATCTGCAATATTTTATCTTGATCTCGTATCAAATCCATCAAAAACTAAATATTCAAAATCTCATAATATATAATTAGTATAATAAATAAAATAGATAACAAGTCCATAAAATAAATATTGCTCTCAGTATCGCTCATATTTATTATTAAATTAAATCAATCAATAATTAGTTATTACACCTGCTTCCGCCACAAGAGGATTCACATGTATACTTGGGAAAGAGGTGATGATAGAAGCATGATAGATTTCGTAATTGTGGATGAAAGAATGAGGGGCGCAGTGGTAGATACAAGGGTTAAGCTGAAGTCTAACTTAGGGACGGATCATTATTTGGTTTTATGTCGAATTAATGGTCTACTCAGGCGTTGGCGCCATTGGTCATCTGTGTCTACCACTGCGTTACAGCGTATTAGAACTGAAAGGTTACAAGAGGAAGGTGAAAAAAACAAGTTCAAATGTAGACTGAAAGAAAATATAAGTGGTTTGGATGAATTATGTATGAATGAGTTAGACTTGGAGAATGTATGGCAAAATTTTAAGAAAGGTATAGTGGATGCAGCTACCGAAGTATGTGGTGTTAGTAAGAGAAAGAATGAAAGGAAAAATAATACGTTATGGTGGGACGATGCGATACGTATAAAAGTTGAAGCAAAGAAGAGAGCATAGCTAGATTTACTAGCAACAAAGGCTGTAATTCTAGCGGTACGAATGACGATATTGAAAGAAAAAGGCAGTTTTTAGATATCTAAATAAGAGAGTAAAAGAAGTAGTTGAAAGGAAAAAGCAAGAAAGAACGGATAAGAATAATAGAAGAATATCAACTTCCAGGCAAATTGAAATGTTCTGGAAACTCGTAAGAACTACCACATTCAAAACAGCCTATAATGAATGCTATAAGAGATGAGAATGACTATATTCTGAATGATGAAGTTTTGAGCTTAAAGAGATGGAAGGAATATTTTGAAAGCGTTTTTATGAGTGAGGAGACAACGTATAAAATAAATTAAGTAGAAACTCCGAAAGAAGAGGAAAGAGATAGCGAGATAAGTTCATCTATGATATAATGAAAGCAATGAAAAGCATGAAAGCAGGTAAGGCCGCCGGATATGATAGAGTTTCACTCGAAATGCTAAGGGCTGTAGAGGAAGTGGTGGCAGGCCTGCTGCACACCTTGTTTAATTTATGCTGGGAACTGAAGCGGGTACCGGTAGACTGGTGCAAAGCCGTGATAGTCCCAGTATATAAAGGAAAAGGGTCGCAGCAGGACTGTAAAAACTACCGTGGTATCAGCCTTCTTAGCATTGTGGAAAAACTGTATGCTAAGGTACTGATTGAGAGGGTCATGAAAGAAACTGATGAAAAAATTTGGGATGTGCACGCGGGATTTAGAAAGGGAATGGGATGTACAGATCAAGTCTTTTCCATGCACATGATCACGGAAAAGTTTTTGACCAAAAACCAAAAGGTTTTTTGTGCGTTCATGGACTTGGAAAAGGCCTATGGCAGAGTGGATAGGGATGAGCTATGGCAAACACTGAATTCATTTCGGTTGAACGCTGGCTTGATACAGGCATTGGAGTCGCTTTATAGGGACTCTAGTGCTTGTGTTAGGATCAACGGGGTCTACTTGAACTGGTTTATCATCCATAAAGGTATCAGACAGGGCTGTGTGACTTCCCCGTGGCTGTTCAACCTATTTATGGACAGTTGTTTGCAAAATTTGAAAGTTGAAGAATGCGGAATTAAGAATGGGTGAATTAACCATCAAATGCTTTTGTACGCCGATGATCAAGTTATTATTGCGTCGTTGGCGGCCGTGCTGCAAATAATGGTTACATTAATGAACAGATCATTAAAAGAAAGGGTATGAAAGTGAACGTAAGTAAGACGAAATTTATGGTTTTTGAAAGAGAAGAAAGTAAGACGATATGTGAAATAAGAATAGAAGGGGAGTTGATCGAGCAAGTAGATCAGTGTATATCTGGGTTGCGTAATTAGCAGGGATGGGAGATGTGATAAGGATATAGAACGACGAGTGAATGCAGGAAATAGAATAAACGGGGCCCTACACTCTATTGTGAAGAGTCAAAATGTGTCGAAAAAGGCACGTATGGCAATTCACAATGCTGTGTTGGTCCCTACTTTAACGTTTGGTAGTGAAAGTTGGGTGTGGCAGAAGAAGCACGAGAGTAGAATGAACGCAGTAGAAATGCGGTCGTTAAGGAGTATATTAGGGCTGAATCTGAATGACGGGGTAAGAAATTGTGTAATAAGAGTAGAATGTGGTTGGCAAGATGATGTTCTGACTAGGATTAAGAAAGGAATGCTTCGGTGGTTTGGTCATGTGGAAAGAATGAATGAGGAAAGAGTGGCAAAGAAAATTTATGTTGCAGAAGTGAATGGCAGAGTCGGAAAAGGACGTCCTAGGCGAAAATTTATTGACCAAATTGGCGATTTATTGAAAACGGGCCAAATTAGGAGTACCCTTAACCAACGAGCATGTATGCGTAGGTGTATGGATGTGAAGGAGGCGAGAGAGGTGTGTCAGGATCATGCCAAATGGAAGTCTGTAGTCTCTGCCTACCCCTCTGGGTGACAGGCGTGGGTGGTTATGTATGTAATGTAGTTATTACAGATAAAATTGTTACAAAAAAAATTATGTCATAATAACTTACCTTTACTTACTTTTGTGGTGTAGTCACTAAACATTAGCCTGAGAGACTAATATTTCCTAAAATCTCCAGAACTAGGAAGCGTGTGAACACAATGCGTGTGCACGGTTCACTAGTTGGCCGATTTAGGAAGGTACTGAAGGGCCGAGGGGGGGGTGCGGTAACGAAAACATACCTAGACAGCGAATGCATCAGAGTTGTGTTGCCTGTGAGACTAATGTTCAGTGATCTAGGGTTAATAAAACAGCTCCGAATTATCCGAATTAAAACGGTGCGTTGGCCGCTCCCCGGGGAGAACACCTTGCTCGGCGGGAGATCTTCTCTTTTCCTTCTACGACCGCAGTTCAACAACCTTCGGAAACTACAACTTCAAGCCTTCGTCATTATCCTCAAGAACCCCTACCATTCACCACTGAGAATCGTCTTCTGCAGTCTTCAGTTCCTGCAAGCCAGTCCAACTTGTCTTCATCTCGACTCACCGCAGATTTACAAGGCAGACTGGCACTTGCTCCGGCACATCGATCTCAGCGTAATCACTGACCAGTGCGTAGTACGGCATGCATTATACATCGGCATATCATTCGCACCAGTGTCACTTGCCCTTACACACACAGCATGCATTGCTCACCGGCATTAAGGACTGCACTGTCGACCTCCGGTTTGAGCAGGGGGGTGATGTGGCGGTGCTGTCGTCATGCCACAAGCTAAACACACCAAAACCTAAATCGCGCTATCAAATTTCCGAATCATAAACAGTATATATAGAACAGCTCCGAATTATCACACGGAGCGTTGGCGGCTCCCCGGGCAGAACACTTTGCCCAGCGAGAGTATTTCCCTTTTCCTTCTACGGCCACAGTTCAACTAATGATCTTACTTACTATTTATAACTGCACTTAGCATGTTGATCAAAATCAACAAGTGGATAAGGTCCCGTAAGGTTGTAAAACCTTCTAAATGATTTTTGGCGCAAGACTTTAGTAACCACTTCTGTGTTCATTTCGTGTACGTACTGCTCTACTGTGTACACAAAATGAACACAGTACGTGCTGTTCCAGTTAGAATAGTTCGAAAGTCAGTATAATTACAGGCTTAGACAGTAAGACGTTATTCGTCAGAAGTAGGTTACAGGTGTTCGTTGGTATTTTACAATCTCATATCTAAATTAAAATGAACATTGCAATCTTACATCTGTCTCAAATTTATCAAGTAATTCTTGTCTATTAGCAGCAGACCGAACCGCCGCACAGTCACATCATCCGAAACTATGTTTCCTACATTTTAGACCTTATGCACGTTAGTATCAGATTTTTTTAAATAGTAAATTCTTGGTTTTATTTTATACCGGTTGTGTAAATCTTTAAGTTAAATTATTTCAAGTATTATATTTTTAATCGAAAACACTTAACTTTTGTGTATTTTTCTGAATAAAGCAAGGTCTAGCAACGCGTAGGTAAAGCAACGTCTTGAAAATACCGCGGCATTAGATGCTAAATATTCCAACTGATTCCTTATTTCGATGTATACCGCGTAATGACTTATTAAGATACGTGATTTTTTTTATAAATTTTTAGAGTTATTTTCATGACTAAGCCCATCCCACTTTCGCTTCGACACCTAAAAAAGACAATGAATTTTAAAATCTATTTCTGAGGTATACTTTTGCGTTTCAATTACAAATTACAGCAAGTCAAAGGTGACCTATTTAGATGTTTTGTTAATTCGAAGAAAAATTTAAGATCATACACAATTCAATGTTATTTTTAGCAGGTATTTTAATTTATTTACAAGCATTTTATAATAAGGTATTAATTTATATATGAATCATGTAAAATCATGAATTTTTTAGCACTCGGAATTTGGAAACGAGATTATTCGGTATGAAACGGTCAAAACGTTAATTTCTTCAAACAATTCTCGCAAAGACTCTCGTGAGTTTAAATTATAACTTCCTGATATAGCTCTTTTTTAATGACACATACAGATTCAATGTCTGATAATTTGCTCCCCGAAAGTATTCCATATGATAATAGACTATAAAAATGACTGAAGTAGACCAGTCTTGCAAATTCGGCGTCAGTTAACTGTCTAATTTTTCTTATAGCGAAAGCCGCTGGGAACCAGTATTTTGTTAAGTGTCACTAAGTGATAACTCCAATGTAGTTTATTATCAAGAGAAATGCCTAAATATTTTTGGACTGAACAATCCCTAATTTAGTTTTGTTTAAAGTTATATTATAGTAAACGCTATTTACATTTGTAGTTTTTTAGGGTTAAGTGCAAAATTTTTTTATTGTGAACCAATCTGATACTCACGCAAAATTATTGTTTACGTTTTCAATTTTCTTTCTGTCAATCTTAAAAAC